TTATGCATCCTAGAGTAATGTCCCCTCACTTTAGTTCAATTTGACTTACGCGTGCTCAAAATTTGTTCAACTTTGACCAATTCAAATGTTACGTGTGTGAAACCAAACTCTGATGTCATTAGAATTCCATTTAGTTCAAATTATTAATAAAGCTCTACATGAAATCTTAATGCATCGTCTAAGTGATACATTTCCGGTNGAATTCCATTTAGTTCAAATTATTAATAAAGCTCTACATGAAATCTTAATGCATCGTCTAAGTGATACATTTCCGGTTAGTGAGTGTCTTAATCATTTTTCTTTTTGACAACTGCCTTTATCTTTTATCCTTTATTCTCTTATGTCTCAAATTAGCACGATTGTGAATCCTATACTTCAAAAATATGCTTCTAACCATGTTTAGCATGTGCTCTTTGAGATTTATAAATGAACAATGAATTTTAAGCATCAATACTCTCAATAATTCAAGTGCAATTATTTTTATCCATTTTTTCATGCCTCACATTTTTCAAATTTTGTCTATTTGGCTCTTTTCTTACATTTGACTCTGCAATCTTTTAAGGGATTGGGGGTTTAGTAACCTTTATGGGCTCCTCGTGGAAAGCTTTGCGGTTAATAAATCAAATAAGTAATCCACCATGTGTTTACCTATCACCAGCATTTATAGTCACGAAAGGTCATTAATCAGTTAAACTAACAACACTCCTAATTATAAAGGTGAATGGTTGATGTGTACTTGATATGGCTCATAGCAATACACATTTCAACTTTGATTGAAATATGAAATCATTAAAAAGCAAACCAAAGTGTGGTTTACTATAATTAATAACAAACAAATAAACAAATTTTACTTTTTATTTTTCAATATTTTTGTATTTATTTTTTTAAATAATGTATACAAATAAAAATATGCATAAACATGCAATAAACAAAGAAAAAATAAAGCAATTATCATAAATCCTAAAAGGAATGTCAAACTTGACATCAAAACTCTTTCTTGGTTTTCAATTTCTATTGTTTATGTTTTTTCAATTTCTATTATTTTTTATTTTTATTATAAGAAAATAAACTAAACTTAAACAAATAAAAATATATATAAAGTATGACCCTAGGGTGTTTGATGTAATGCATAAATGATATACCTAGGTCTTTTCTCACTTACTTCTTAGGTGACACGACCTTGTTGAAAGCACTTGAGGCATCCAATTTGGTTGAGATGCTGAGCCTTCGAAACTCCTCCCTAGACACCAGTGTTTGCTTTCGCTTCTAAAAACTCAGGTTTGGTTGGAGAATTGGTGGAGACTAACTCTCTTCTCTCGGAATTTGTGTAGGTCAATCTTGATCTTGGGAGTAGAAGAAGTTTTGTGCACGCTAGCATGTGAGTGCTTAGATGATGATGCATGGATATGCTTAGACTCACTTGACTTCTTCAAAAGCTTAGAAAAATTCATAACTTGATCTTTTAAAGCCTTGGATTGTTTTGCTAGATGCATGAGCTTTTTATTTAAAACATTCCTATTTTTCATGCAATATTAACTATGATGACCATGTTTTCTACAAGTGAAACATACATTATGATTTGCTTGTTTCCTTAACAACCGGCTTCTTTAAGTTCGTACCCTTACAATTTGTTGTCTTTGGTGGACTAATGTTCACTGGTGGGGGTGATGGGTTGAGAGTACTCTTCACGAACATGGTCTTGGAAGAAGTGTTGGTGTTATGTTCATGTGTGTAATCAAAACCACGCTTATCACCTACACTCTTTCCCATAGTCAATATTTTACCAAGCTTTTCGGTGCTTAAGGATAGTATCTTAAAGAGTTCATTCGATTCATGATGATATCTATCAAGTTTGACAATTTTAAACTCGAGACTCTTCTTAGACTCAACAAGCTTGTGACACTCTCTTTCAAGAAAGCTCACTTTATCAGACAGAGAGTTCATTTCATACTGCTTGAAGCATGATCTCCTCTCTTCCATTTGGCGCTTTCAGATCTTCATCGTTGTAGCACCATGACCATAGATAGGTTGATATTTGCAAGAACTTCACGAAATTAGCCAATTAAAAAAAAGGATCTAAGGAATCGCTAATGATCAATGCTCTCGATTTCATCCTCACTTGATCAATGCTCTTGGTTTCATCCTTACTTGAGGAGACCTCAACCTTCAAGTCATCTACCTCTGGGGTAAGACATGGGTTCTCATTACTTTCCTTTGACTCACTACTTGTCCATTTAGTCTTTATGACCTTTCTCCTCTCTTTGGACAAATCCTTCTTCTTCTGATAAGGACATGTCACAACCAATTTTCCAAACCCTTGACACTCAAAACATTGGAATTTTTTGTCCCTATTTTCTCTTTTCCTTCCTTGGGAAACCTAGGTCTACTCAACTTACCCTTCGATTCGGATAACTCAACATCTCTAACCTTCACACACTTTCTAAACTTTCTAGCAAAGTAGGCTTGGTCCTCATATTCCAACAAAGGTGACTCAGAGTCATCTCCTTCTTCTTGTATTGAGATCAAGACAACACCCCTCAATTTTTTGGTTGGTTGGAGATTCATTTCAGAAGTCAAAATCAACCGAACTAGGTATTCCACAGATATTTCATTCAAATCGATTTTGATTTCGAAGGCCATTTCCTTAGCTTGAATGGAGATCTCAATATTATCCAGGTAAGTGTGGAGTCTTCATATTTAAAACCAAGGCAAAAAGAAAAATTAACTATGTCATTCCATTTGGCATAGAAATCACTAGAAGTTTCATCCTTATTCATCCACAAGGTTTCAAATTCTTAGATTTACCATTAAATCCAAAACATCTTCACTAAGGGTGTCCCTTTGCGAGAAACTTCCAAGTTGTCACACACTGCTTTGGAGGTCTCGCAATTGAAAATCGTTTGAAACTCATTGGGTGTCACAACATTGAATATCACATTTAACCCTTTCGAGTTCTACCCCATAGACTAATACTCTTGATTAGATCACGTCTTTAGGGATTTGGGCATGGTTTCAGTGTCATGACCCTCAGTAGTAGTCATCGTTGGAGGGCTCCAATCCTTACATCATCAACCACACTCATTCATCTATCAATTTAAGTGATAAATCGATTATACAACAAATCTAAAATCACAAAAACTAGGTCAAGTAAGTAAAAAAATAAAAATAAAAATGCCTACAATGTCCCTAAGTGCAATTCGTGGGTAACCACGCTTTGATACTACTTGGATTAAATGTATTGAAGATCTTTCCATCATGATTATACACATGGAACTAAATGCTCCGACCTAGAGGGGTGAATAGGTTTTTACACCTCTTGATTAAACAATCACCAATTTTAAGCCTAATAACCTCAAACCTAATCAATTAATTAATTGGTTAATTAAGTTCTTTAAACCCCTTTTCCCTTAAAGGACAACCCGCCATGGATGAATGGAAGCAAAATATGTATGTCAACAATCCAATCCAATCCAATCCACCTTATCCGTCCAACAAGCCAACCACCAATTCAACCACAATGATGAATATATCTGATATAGAGATCAATAAATCATTCCATCAAACACATTATGTGTGTGATAAATTAAAGCAATAAAGAGATTGTCCACAACAAAATCAATTTAACATGAAAACTCTCTTGGAAAAAACCATGGAATCGATTCTGATTTACCTAACCTAATCCACTATTCTCAATATCAATTATAAGGATGTTAGCTTATACCTCAACTAATACATACACGGTTAGAAGATTTCTTCCTTGTCAATCTCTCCTTCGGATACACCCACCGAAATTTTGAGAACTAACTTCACTTGTATGCAATCACCGCAATGAATTGTCTAGGCCTTGAGCAATCTTTAAGGTAACATATAAGAGTCTCTGTATGCATATAACCAATTTGGGTTTTGGTGGTACACCACAAGGTCTTCTTCAATGTGAGGTTAAATTTGAAGAATCAAATAGGTTTTGTGGCCTTTGAATCTTAGTTTGCTCTTAACTCTTTATTAAGTCCTCTTGTTGGATCAAAATCTGATCCATTGAAGTCTGTCCAACAAGTCCTGGGCGTTGAAGAGTATGATTTTCATCACCAGTGCTAAATTTGCTACAGTAAAAATCCGCTTAAAGTTGCCAATGACACAAATTATCCTACTTGCTAAATGTATAAACTTCGATGCTAAAATGTCACTAAATCATGAATATCAATGTTAGTAGTTGGAGATATTAACACTAGAATAGAGAACTAGTTAAATGGATAACTTTGGTTTAGTTATATTTGCACCCAAAAAAAAAAAAAACCTTTGGTTTAGTTATACAATGCTGGAAAATAAAACATTCCTTTTTTTTTCCTTCATAACAAAGAAAATAGATGGTGCTATTGTACCGAAACATAATTTTTGTTATGATTTATAAGCATATTTTTTTTTCTGACCATTGATCTTTCTTTAATTTAATTGTTACCATTGTTTACAAAAACAATAGAATAAAGCAATATAATAAAATTAAAAAATTATTAATTTCAAATTTTTATTGGACCAAAAAAAATGTAGATACTAAAAAATTATTTGTCTGTATCATAATAGGATCCAAAGAAACAAACGGGCAGCAAAATACAAAAGATTACACATGATTGACCCGATCTTTTTTTATGGGGTGCGAGTTTATTTTTTTGGGGGGGTTTGGGAGTGGGGAGGTGGGTGGGGGTGGGGTGCTTTGGAGGGGAGAAGGAGGGATCCATGATTGACCTATACATACCGGCCCAGAATCATTGTCTTGTTGCAGAAAAATAACCTTATTAAACATGTTCCTGCCATCCAACCTGTGGTACAGGTCCTGGGTTCAACTCCACCTCCAAAGCAAGCTATCACTCCTTTATTGTGCTGAAGTACCGACATTTTTAGAAATACCAACGAGTAGAGAATAAAAGGAACCAGTCTACTTCCATCGTTTAGACAATATCATGAAAATGTGGAATCATTGACAGGAAATTAGGCAGTAGCACATACCATGGTATCTTCAACTGTTCTCAAATGCAAAGAAAATAATATGCTGATGGAGAATAACAAGGTTTAAGCCACCATAAACAGCTTGCGTAAAGTTTTTTCACGCTTAGAATTATGCATGCAACACTTGTATGCATGCAACAAGATTAAAAATCCATAAAAAATGTCGATTGAAACAGTAAGAATGACCATATACTGAAATAAATGAGTCGTATACAATTGTTTAATAAGGGCCTGTGACTGGTCCATAGTCAACCACCTTGAGAGGGAAACTTATAAGGAGAGGTGAAACCCCAAGATGAATAAGCCGAGTCTTCAGCCTTGTGCCATTATCCCCTGCAGACCTTTCATGTGGCACCATCAGGATATCGGTTGAAAGCTTCTTGCATTGACAACTGAGTATTGATGACTTTGCGCCAAATTGAAGCTGCATTTCGAGGTCCATGGGTCAATGCGGATCACTACCAACTATGGTTCGTTCCAAGCTACAGGACTTTATTTGGAAATAATAATTCATTCTGAAGAATCTGTCTTTATATCCACTGGATTTCTTGTCTAGCTGCCCTTAGTTGTGTTGGAAGAACTGAACTCATGTTTCACCAATTGTTCAGTATATGGTAACGTTCAATCTAGCAACAGCCAGCAATTGGAACCAATGTCTCTCCCCGCGGGGACATCGGTAGGCAACTCAGGTCCTCACTCGCTTTATGATAAAGAACTTTCTGCACATAGTACATCAGATAGCACTGCGAGGATCTAACCACCTCCTCATCAACTTCAGTTATCCAAGCATCGTCACATTTATACCATTGGTTTTTCAAACGCAAGTAAGTCACATAGTGGCCAGATTCTAGCATCCCTGAATGAGTAACCAACGCAAAAACTTCAAATTCTGTAGAGACATCTGATTCATCGCCCTCGAAGGCAAAGATTCTGTTACCAAACCTTTTTCTGACAATTGAAGAGGATAAGAACGGGGTCATGTCTAAATGGAAAGGAAACCGCAAATGCCGGTCAATTTTTCTTGACAACTTCCTGACTGGAGAGTGCTCAAACCGCTTTATATGCAAACACAGGACTAATGGAAGCCTTCTAATGGACATTTGCTTCAACGAGTCTCTCTTTTCTTGACAATTTTGGCAGTACAATTTCTGGTCTGACCCCAACTTTTCTGGCCTTGTAAAGAGGTCCAAGCAGCCAACAAGGGTAGATACAACCGTGTTCTCGTTTTTCTCGCTTGGCTGGTTGGTTAGATCTGCTGAAGAGGAGGTGTCCAAGTCGAGAGAAATGTCCAAACAAGGATCATAGGTTGTTGAAGTGAATCCACAGGTCATGCAAGTTACATCAGATCTCAAAAGACCAGAGAATACTCTATGAGCAATACAATGGCAATCTGCATTATCTGTGAAAAAAAAAAAATTTCTTCAGATTAGTAAAACAAAACTCTTACAAACTGCAAGAGAACTCTCTTTACTTGTCAAAGTTTAATTGAGTTGTTCTTCATCTACTCTCTCAAATGTTGGACAATCACTTCAAAATACCATCTTAGGGATCCCCCAAAATCAACTATTCATGGAAAAAAGTTTCCAGAATCTGAAATTTGTTATTATGTATGGGGCCATAGTGCCCCCAGTTTGTCAATGGAAAACCATGTACACGCATTTGGGCACATGACAAAAAAAGATGCATCATTTTCGTAAACCAAACTCTAGCCTAGTATCAAGAGGCTTTTAAGAAGCTTGAATTGAAATCTTGGCATCGAATTACCTTTAGTTGCATTTTTCACTTTCCCCTCCTTCTCATGGATCCTATCCAACATTGAGATGAAGAATTCATGAGCATCCTGCTGTTCATAAGTAGCAAGATTCTCTGAAAGCTGCCACCAACTGCAAGACAAAAGCTTCCTATGAAATAAACCTGTAGCTTCATTGCAACTATCCAAAAGACTCCTTGGAAGTTTGGTTACACCTCTGTATGGAATTCAACCAAAAACTGACTCCAATGCAACCACAGACATCCAAAAGCTCTTCATTTAACTGAGTGATATATGGCATTCAGAAATACACGGAAAATGTTACACAATACAAACTTGATGGGGTCACAATCCCATCTCGTGTGTCACAATTCCACCAACAAGCAATGCAACATAAATTTTTGTTGAAAGTTTATCCTCTGACAATATCAATGTAACTAGCAAATAAATTATATATCTTGATACATATCAATAATAGTAATGGGTGAAGTAAAGGATCAGTAGCAACCAAGACATGCTCAAAGGAGAAAGTCTAATCACATAGAACAGCTAACCTGTAAAGAAACTGAGCTGGACTGTAAGGGGTCCGATCGCCTGAAAATACAGCAGAAAAGATAACATCAATGTCACAAGGCAAACATGGCCTGTCTGATGACCTTTTCCTGCAAGTATCACGGTTATGCCTATCACTAAGGAAGTAATTCCTCATAGGGGGTGCATGAAGCAATACTTGCAACACAGAATTCATGAAGCAAGTATTCCCCAAATTATTCAAACCCCTCAAACCCAACGGAAAACAAGATTTCAATCTTGGATCCCTCCCCAAAACCACCTGTTTTCCGTTCTTGGAATCTAAGTCCACAAAACTCAATCTTTTCCTCTTACTGAATCTCAATTCACCACCCACATCCCCAATATCATTTCTAGGCAATCCCATGATGTGTTTATTCATCACAGCCTTATCAAAATCAGGATCATAGACCTGATCACAACATACACAGCAATAAAGCTCAGCTCTTTCTATATCCACAGCAATTTGATGACCATATTGAGACTGGGCATGCAAAGCGGCATGGCTTGATTCAGGAGAGATAAAACATGACATTGATGAACAGATCAAACATATATAGAGTCTACCTTGATACCCAGAACAAAAACTACATCTGGGTATCGCAGATTGGGACATGTCAATCATTGTCCTACCATATGGGCTGGTTTTGAGGCAGTTTAGAATCATATTGAACCCATTTTGGCCATGGATGAGCTTGTATTCTGCAAGGTGCTTGCAGGGCTTTGGGGTTCTGTATGAAGGTTTTCTTGTGGACATGCTGATTGAGATGGAAAGAAAACTTCTTCCTTTGAAAGAAGATATATGGAAAAACTATCAGATTTACCGGTGTAGAGAGACGATAATATCAATTATTATGGTTAATAATGGCAACCAAGAGAGATAATAACATTGAAATATATTGAGAAAATATAGATTTGATTTGATTTCAGATATGGATTCGAATATTTGGGGACGTTAAAAGAAATGGATTTGGATTAGTTTAGGTGGATGTTGATTGATCCGATGAGAGAGAAACAAGAAAGAGAAAGATGGGAACAGAGCTTGCTTTACTAGAGAAGCCGCAGGGAAGAAGGAGACGCTTTTCCTTGGCAGACGGACTCACTGTTCTCTTGTGGATATAGTACATTTGATTTTTCTACACTTTTTTCTTTCGAACAATCTTCACCGTTCCAGTTTCTTAGTCAATAAGATTGCGAATAATCAAGTGTGATCAGGGCCATTGAAAGAAAGTCAATGGGGCCCACAGGAAATAAAATGGAACCTATTACCAAAGTACCCCCAAAGTTAAACTTAAATACCAATATACCACAATTTTGAACTTATTTACCCAAATACCATTATTTTAAAAGCGAAAGTACGAAATCCGAATTCATTTAAATGCGGAATTATGAAATACGACTTTATCTGAAAAAACGGATGTACTAATTACGCTTTCATTTAAAATCGGACTTATCAAATCCACTTTTGATTGAAAACAAATTTATCAGACCCGCTTTTAACAATTAAAAAATGTCTATATTCCAAGGAAAGCGGTTGTGTTAAACCCGCTTCTATTAGTAGACGGATTTACCAAATCCGTTTTCATTATAAAGCGATCTTAAGAAAGCCGCTTTCCAATGAAAGCGTTTGTAACAAATATGCTTTCTGATCCCATTCATAATTTATCCAATCCCAGCCAAATAATTTTTGATGTTGTACTTATTTTTAATATTAAAAAATAATAAAAATAATTACCACAAAATTAATAAAAATACACAAAAGTAGTAATAATTTATTTTGTATCAAAAAAAAGTGATAAAAATTAGTACCAAAATAATGATAAAAAACACTCACAAATGTAATAAATCACCCAGAATAATAATAAATTTTTTATAACAAAAATAGTAAAAATAGTTATACCAATATTGATAAAAATACTCACAAAAGTGATAAAAATATCCATAAATGTAATAGACTCAGCCACTAAAATAATAAATTTTGTAGTTATAAAAAGACGTATAAATTTATAAAAATATTTATTAAAATAATAAATTTTGAAGATATAATAGTATTTTTGTTGTTGTTGTTGATACTGTAGACAAATCCATATTGTCATATCATTTTCTACTTAGAACGTTATGTTGTAAAACTGAAATACCAATTCCGACTTCATATTGAAAGCATATTTATCAAACCCGATTTTAAGGACTTATATTTAAAATTAAAGCTAATTTGTTAAACCCGCTTTCATTAGAAAGCGGACTTACTAAAAACGCTTTCTAATGAAAAGAGTGTTTAACACATTCGCTTTCTGTGGTATGTTCCATTTTTACCCTTCGCAACAATAAATTGGGGGGGGGGGGGTAAGAGATATTATAACTTCTTCTCGTTATCACATTTTTTTTCAATTGCGGTATATTTGAGACTATTTGTACGTAGTCCCACAAATGAATATTTCATTCCCACCTCTATTAAAGAATAAATAATAAAATTATTAAGTTCACCTTTTTTTAAATTCCAAAATTACTACCCATCATACCCCTCCCCACCCCACACAAACAAAACCTTAAATCAAAAACATTCTAAAACCCTACCCACTAAAAATATTATTATTAAAAAAGAGAATAACTATTGTCCCCCCCAATCCCAACCAACAAACCCTAAATCGGAAAAAAAGAGATTTTATTTCTTTTGCGATAAAAACATTAAAAAATACATTCAAAAAATGAAGAGACGTTATGTCTTTTGTTGAAATAGAACTATAAGATTTTATTTTAAACGACATAATATAGACATATAAGTCAAAAATAGTTATAATGATGATCATATTTTTAATAGCATAGTGGTGTGCCATGTAAGCAAAGAGTGGCAGGGAGAAATTTTGCACAATGATCATCATCACTTGATTCTTCAAAATCAGAAAGTTCATTGTTAGAAGCCAAAGATTGATCAGAGAGTATTGCATTAATAGGTTCTACATGGTTTGAATGGTTAATCTTTGCCTTTGAAATAAGGTGGAATCGATTTAGCTGTCGTTCCATCTGATCATTCTTATAAGCCAGTGTTACAATGATATCATGGTAGTTATCCGTGTACCATTCCACATACATTTCAGCTGAACGTGCTTGTGGCACTCGTAATCTATGCCAACGACAATATACTTCAAGCTCACAACGCTTGAAATAAGATTTCAACCAACTTGGTCCCTGTAGGTGGTAATAAAACTCTAAAGGCGGAACAAAGGTTGCATGTCCAATCATCACATGACTAACTTCAGTGAAAGGGTTATAAATATTGATTGACTTATTCTTAAAGGAACGTAAATTTCCATACCATGTTACTCCATGGGGATCTATGTAATTACTGGGTTCTGGTGAACTGAATGAAGAAATTGTTTCATGATGGCAGTGGTTGGTTGAGAATGAGTCATCGTTAGGTTGGCATGAAGACCCATGTGNTGTAATTACTGGGTTCTGGTGAACTGAATGAAGAAATTGTTTCATGATGGCAGTGGTTGGTTGAGAATGAGTCATCGTTAGGTTGGCATGAAGACCCATGTGGTGATGTTGTTGACATTATAGTGTACATATGGGTTACACTGCAGACAAGTAGCTGTATTTAAACAGGAACATAAATTATTGTAATATTACATTCATTGAACTGAGTAATAAAATATTGTTGTAAGTATACAGTTACGAGTGAACAATGATAGCGACAAGACACTGCTAGAGTGTTGTGATAAAATAGACATTGATGACATAACACTGACAAGATTGTACACATAGTATTGTGTTAAATCACCACTGACGACTTAACACTGTTAGTGATGAGACAAAACATAAGTGTTGCAGGAGATGTCAAATTATTTGTGCTGCAGGAGTTGTCAAATCAACATATTTTTAAAAAATTTAGCAATAGCAGGCTAAACAGTTATCACGAATACCATTAGAATATCACTATATATTGATTATGTGTGTTGCTCTCTAACTATACTTATCAACTTGAAACATGAGTAACAGTCCACGCTCAGTGTTTGAAGTTATGGGATATCATTGGGCGTTTGAGGATGAATTCTTCTATCCTTTAAATCTTCGTTTACGTTTCTTACAGAGGTCAGTAAATAGAATGAGAGAAGAATGACAATATCGTTTGAATGAGAGAGAAGTTCTTAGTGAAGATTATGCATTTATAACATACGGAGGCCGTGACAAGTTGCCATTAATATGCCTATTCAAACACCACAAGAGTTGGAAAGTGCATTGTGGCGTATTTGTGCTGAAAACAATCGTATGACAATACGGCAAACTCGATACAACCTCTGCCGAATTGCAGGTGATCGTGCTTCAAAAGGTTTGGTTGAAGAAGCACGTCTGTGTCTACAATTGTCTATAGAAGGAGGAAGTGTTTCTGACGTTGAAATATCGGACGAAGAAACTTTCCCATGATGAAGATTTCTTAATCAATAAGGCGTATTTATGCATATGTTGGTTTATCCTCCAGGGGTTGTAATAGGAATCTATGTCGTTTATTATAAGCATACTTATATGTCATATACTACTATGTTGTAGTAGTTTATCTGTATTGTCGTTATGCATTTCTCAAATATAATGTACTGTATGTTGTTCCATGTTTTATCTTAAGCAATGATGTGGAGAACAACACTAAACATAATAATGCATATAATATATACAAACATAATGAATTAAAATTTTTTTTGGCATAATATCCCTTAAAACTATGTCATACCATAAAATTTTTTGCGTTGTATGCACAATATCGAAACAACAACAATCATAACAGCACAATCATAACACCAACACCCAACCATAACTACCACCAACAACACCCAACCACAATATCACAAACACCACACATCACAACCAATAACAATACAGTGCAAAATTCTATAATATACATGTGAACAAAAATGTCAAAAAAAATGATAAAATAGGACAACACTAAGTGCCACAAGACAGTTTCTTCCTTAGGCGTTTGGGACGCCTATCCTTTAACTGTGACGGGTCGTCATCGATCACCTGTGAATCCAGATCTCCAACTGGAATACTATCGTCACCTCTGCCTCTGCCTATGCCTATACCTCTACCAACCCGTCCTCTACCACTATGGCCTCTCACACCCCCCAACCTGTCTCCTCGACCTTGAACTAATGAAATTAAATAGGCAAGTGGAGTTGTAGCACGGTGCTGTGACCTATGTACAACTGTTGGAGTCGATGCAAGTCCTATACCATGACCCTACGTGACATCATCTGCTGCCTGTGAAATCTGAACATCTACTAGAGGTGACATCATCAATGCATCATGATAGATAGGGTGGCTGGGCAATGTGACTCCTGAACCATCTGATGTGTATGTGCCTGGTCCTGCCATGGGGGAAACATGCCCTGCGGGGTACTCATATGGTATGGTGGTCTCCGTCAATGGTGGTGAATTGTATGTAGTATGTCGCTGATGTGGAGGTCTCTCTCATCGTATAAAACGAGGCCGAGCATGTACATTGGGCGGAGCATGTGGTGCAGTATGTGGTATATGTACAGGGTCGGTGTGGACAGTATGATAGAGACGATGGTCCTCTCAAACTGCCTCAAGGCAAGTGGCACTAAGAGATCGGGCAGCCTATAGTGTCTGTCTATGTGCTGCGTCTGTACCATCATCATGGTCATCTTGTGCGATCTGGTTAATCTGAATAAGTGTATGCTCCTGTAAAAATAAGAAACACATACATTATGATAACATTAATTTTGTATTAGTAATTCATGATTATACTGACAAATGAACTTAGGTATTACTTACCAATATCTCAACTATATTACCCATAGGCTGGAATCCAATAGGTGGAGTATGTACTGGAGGTCCGATCAATCGTCGAGTGATACAACCATAGCAAACCATGTACGCACGATAACTCATATCGGACACTGATGTATCTGGCTCCCCTGTAATAACATGCTCTCGTTGGTGGGTCCAGACATCTAAAGAAGATTGATGTACAATACTCCAGTCATAACCACCTTTGCCGTGTTGATCAGTAGCATGTAGAACAGTCCCTATGTCGCATGGCTGAGGGATACCCTGTCTAAAACTGAACT